TGATTATGGACAGGGATGCAAATGGAGCGCGGGGGATATTCCTTCGCGCGTTGCTTGATGGAGCCATATGCATGCATTATGTAGGAATTGGTAATTATGCTTAGCAAAGCTTAGTATAGATTATTAATGATGTATTAAAATCCATCCGCACGAATTATTTATGCATAAACAATTGAAAAATTTCCAAAATTAATTGTTTAAATATTTATCGTTATTGTTATCAATACTATAATTTCAATTGTATCGGGAATTTCGAATGGTTTTATGTTGGGTTGGATATTTGTGAAACAGTTTTGTTAATCAATTCGGGACTTTCCGAAGATTTTGAAATTTTCATTTATTTTTTTTAAAATATTAATATAACTAGCAGATAAATATTACAATTTATGGTTTACTGTTGTTCATTTTTACACAAGAAGAAATTAGCCGCGATTAATTGTAACCCATGTTGTTCAGCAAAAAGGCGAGCCTTAAATCCACCACGAGGGGAAGGTACCGCTTGAAATTCGAGTTGTGAATCAGGTTGACGATATAGCAAGAAAACATATCGGTGGAATCCTGTGCCAGGAGGAGGAGTAGGTCCGTTATAAGAAGTGATCACAGTTGCTTCGGATAAATTTCCTGAATCTAATCGATGAATAATAATAATTAAAATTTTTGGTTTCTTTTTTTGAAGTTCAAGAAAGGATAATCACGTGGAATATTTCCAATTATCCAATGACGCCATTCCCTGTTCTTTGGTGTAGCACGACTTGGTGCGTCTGGATCAACCTGTATAAAAAAGACATCAGATAAATATGGTAAGCCGCATATATATTATTATTTGATAACGTTTACCATCAAAAGCGTATATCGAGAATTTTCGTCGTCCGCAAAAAATTCGATACTCGGAGCATCTTTGGTTTCTTTAAAACATTTTATAAATTGTTAAAATCATCATACAAAGCAGCAAAAAAAAGAAAACAAAAGAATAAAATAAAGGAGTAAAACCAAGTACCATTAATAGTGAATTCGTTTCCCAGCTCTGTACTTTTCTCGCCGTACTTAACACTCAAAATTGCGGTAGGGACAAAGTCATCAACAACTAGAATAACATTAGGATGGATTTGCATTCAATGTAAATCAAAAAAAAAATAAAAAATAAAAATAAAAATGAAAATGAAAACCATACATACCATCAGGAGTAATACCAGCGTCTTTCAGAGATGCTTGAGTGGATTGAGTTGCAGTAATAAGCATGTTGGGTATCAAACGGAAATCAAAAATGTAAATTTCCCGACTTTTATAAATAAAATAAAAATTTGTTTAACTTGTTAATGAGATATTAATTAGCTCATAGTTTGATGATCGTTTCGCGTTTTTATTACGCCAAATTCGCCCGATTTGGTCTAAATATTTTTGAAACGAAAAAAAAAAATTCGCTAAAATTTATTTTGTTCTTGCAAGTTTGTACCATGGTAATTAAGCGTAAACTTAGAAACTCGAGTTCGAATACTTCTGTTCCAGTACCAGAAGTTAAGCCTGAGGAAACAACAACGCCCAGTCCTACACCCTTGAAGGTTGAACGACGCGGGCGACCACGTAAACCTGATAATGGCGAGGAAGTAACGAACGAAAAACCTCTTAAAGTTTCTCGTACGATCGAAAACTTTAAAATTATTACTTTTAATCCTAAGGGTACCTCCAGTGGTAAGGGCAAGGAAAAAGAGGCAACTTGCTCTCCCACAGAATTTCCTTCAGAGTAAGAATTTTCATAATTATCATTAATCATTGTCTTAATTTGTACATTATTGTCGAGAATTTACGTTTCTACTCTTATGGTTTTAGACCCGTCTATAATGAACCAATACCGCAATACGATTCTAACTTTGTTGAAGTTCCAGAAGGTGAATATATAATATTACGCAAATGAGGTGTTTAATCAGAGAAAGTAACTTTTCAACCAACCTTTCCAGTTTACTCAGGTAATAATATTTTGCAAAATCCAAAGAATGCGCGACCACGTAAATGGATACGAAGAAAAGTAGTTATTAAAACCACCGGAGCCGAAATAGCTGTTCCCGTGTGGTACTCAAGTATGTGAACTTTATATTAAAATATTTTGAAAGGGTTCTTTACAAAAATCTTAACGCGTTTATACTTGAAATTTTTAATAGATGAATCGAGAAATTTGAGTAATTATCATGGGACGACTACTTAGTTAAAATTAAGATATTTAAAATAATTCTATTATATAATTTATGATTCATATTAAGAGAATTGCTTAAATAATAATTTAATGTTATATATATTAGTTCATCTTTCTTTATATTATTATATGTTCTGATTTAAATTTTGGAATCTTATTATTAAAATGATGATACAATTTAAGACCAGGTCTCACTATACACTATCCGTTATGTCTCAAAGCCAATTCAAATATTTTTTCCAAGAGAGGCACTTTGTTCTTCCTCGCTTTCAAATCAAATTCATCTTAGCAGCTTTAACCAACTTACTTCCCAAGTAATTATTTTTCAGAAAAATGAATTATGGGATGAAGCTAACATTTTAGAACGTCTTTATTATAAAAATAAAAATCAACATCAACGTTCCATATATTTTCGTAAGATCGTAGAGGTGGTCTTCTTGTCATTCATAATACTATATCATTTTATGGTCTTTAAGTTTATTCTAATTCGGTTTAAAATTTTTAGATTAGAAGAATGTTAAAAAGAATTAAAGAGATGGAGATTAATGTATTGATGTCTGAATTTATAGGAAATTTTTACAGTACAAAAATGTAAGTATTTCCTTAAAAATGAAAACTTGTTTGCCATAAATCTTCACTTAAATTTATATTACATTTGCAAGAAGCGGAAAAGCACAAAATACGTGGGATCAAGTACCATCTCAAGAAATGGTCGTTTTCGTTATGAATCGATTAATTTGCGTAGCCTTCTTAATGAATAAGGTAGGCAATTTGAGTTCTTTTTTTTAAAAAAAAAAAGATATATATAAATCTAACGACATAAATTGTATTTTAGGCTCTGGGCACGTTCATCGACACCTTCGAGTATTTATCGTATTTACATATCATTCATGCGTACCTTCGTTAAATATAAATAAAATTGAAGATTTTGTTTTGTTTATTGACATAGTACTTTTAACGCTCTCCTCCGCCAAACTGAATTCATGTCATTTGCTTTGACGTGTCTGGCAATCCTTGCAAGGTTAAATATTCTAACGCGTGTATTGCTCCAAGAAATTAAAAAATGCTATGGATTGCTAAAAAATTGGGTTAAATCTTTTCCGGTAAATTATATTATTTTTATAAACATTTTTATTAGTCCCTTTCTTATGATATTTTGGCTTATGAATCTTCTCTTCATTATGCAGCGATCTTCTTCAACCAGCCAGACAGATTTTGATAACGAAATTAACAAATTACCTGAATGTTTATAAATTTTTTTTTTTTTTTTGAATTATATTAATAATAATAATTGTTATTAATATAAAAATATTTTAAAATTTTATCTTATGAGACTTTTGAATTAATCATTCTTGATCAATAATGCACGATTAATTTGAAAAATGATTGAATTTTTTGTCAAAATATAAAAATTTGTATCATTTATCACGGTTTAAATGATTTACAATTTCATTATAAAGCCGCAACAATCTTCTCTACATCAAATTTGAAACTAGACATGGGATTTTTATCATAAATAAAAGATAAGACATTGTTTTCTTGTGATTTCGTACCACTGGGAGGAATAAATCCTTGAATCCGATCAAGAAGCTCACGACGAACACGTATATCCAGTGTTGACTCAACAAGTTTGTTATTATTACCGGAAGGTTGTAATACACGTTGATCGTCATGTGAATCTGTATTATTAGGTGCATAATTAATTCGAGTGAAATCATCCACAAATCGGTTGTTACTCCTTTCATCTGTCTCGTTAGTCATATTGAAATTATTTGATCGTCCGTAATCTTGCAATAATGTTGAAGATTTACTGTTAGCACTCGAGACGACAATTTTTGGAGAAGTAGGATTGCTTTGCGGTAAAGATGACGATTTGATAAAACGCAGCAATGACTCGTTATTCGTATGTAGTAGATTGCCTGATGAGATCGGAGTACCTAATCGTTGAATAATACTCGGTGAATTACTGTAACTTGTACTTGCATTCGAAAAGATAATATTTTGATGATTGACTGGGTTATCAATTGAAGAAATGTTGATCATGGAACCATTACCAGAAGTTGGAGCGGTAGAAAACAACCCCAATAGTGACAATTTACGTGAAACTTCACGAGTATTAACATTATTCGTAGGTCGACCTTGTCCAATATGTCCAATGTTAGAAGATATTTTTGGCGTCATCATGCTTCTATCGTATGTAGGATCCCTTTGGTTTGTGGAATTAGGTATTATTCCTAATGGTAAATTTGATGCTAAATGATTATCATTTTGAGGAATACTTTGATTTATATGATGTTGAAACATATTAAATATGGCATCATTTGATGACTTTATATTATCGTAAGATTCTGGCAAATATTGTGCTTTGGTTTGTTGTAACTGATGTTGGATGATATCATCATGTGTCAAGTTTTTCGAACTAATAGCTAATGTTTCCGGTTGAAGCACATTCAGCAAAGATGTTCTTCGTTGTGTATCATATTCGACAGTCATTGAAGGAACGGAAACATCCGAGCCAGATTGTTTAGAAGAAGTCGATGAAGAAAATATATTTAATAACGAATTTCGTCGAAGTTTTTGTTCAGGATCCAAAGCAGCAATTGCGACATTTGTATTTGCGGGTATTGGAATTGGGGCAGTTATGTCGTAACTATTTTTGTTGGGAATTGGAGTTTGTGAATTACAATGCGGAATATTTTTCAAAAAATTATTATTTTTTGAATGATTTGCGTTTAGCTCCTTCGGTGAAAGTACTGAATTTGGACCAAGCTCGGGTAGATTAAACGTTAAAGCCGGTAAGGAAAATTGTCCAAGTTGTGCGCTGATATTCGGAGATTGTTCGTGATGGCTACTTTCACTCTCTGTGCCTGGTACGGAAGTTTCTGGTGACGTCTCCTTGGTATCCGAAGTTGCAGCATGTCCATTAAATATCACTACTTCAGTTGATTCATCTTGGTTTGATGCTTCAGCGGTTTTCTTACGATTTTTTTTCTGTGTTTTAAGCCAATTTCGCAGTTTGCTTTTATATCGTAATTAAGATAAAAAGTTTAGAAGTTCAATGTACGTTTTAATTGGTGTATTTTTTTTTTTCCAGATATTTATACATATGCATACCTCACGAAGGGAACGACCATATAAAATCTACTACTTCCATATTTCACACAGCCACCTCCACAATGGTACGGTGTGTCTCTATCCCTGCTTTTTATCCACGTTGGTAAATCGGCCACCTTATGCCACTCTATCTTCTATTAAAGAGCGTAAAGATACAAGATATTATATAAATAAATGAGTTATGAATGACATAACACACACACACGCCACATAAAAGATTACATACACTAATTTCTTTTCGTGTTTTGGGGCAAAAGTCCGTATCTTCAGGTACACCTACTACTATATACAAGCGTATTCGTTGTTCACGAATTGTTAATTCAACATAATCCTGCTCTTTAATTAAAGGGGAAATATCATATCCGGTTTCTTCCAAAACCTACAAAATATTATGATTCAAATGTTAATTTTGTTTTTTCATAAGTATCAATATATTTGTCTAAAAAAAAAAAAATGGATATTCACCTCTCTAGCAGCACAGATAGAATCAGGTTCATCCTTATTTATTTTTCCTTTAGGAAAACCCCAACCTGAACGAGAAGACCATCCTTTAACTAATACACACTGATTCATAGATTCACACAAAAATTAAAATGATTTCTTTTTTAATGGATAACTGATTAGTTAAATAAATGATTACCTTTTCCATGGGTTCATTTAACATAATTGCTCCGCATACAGGGACCCTGATTTTATATTGCATAAAATCAGCAAAGGCCTTTTCATGTTCGTGAGACCATTGATGCAACAAAGGACAATGCTTAAAAAGTGGGAAGGAATTATGGATGTATATTTTTTGTTATAAAGCATGAAAGTTTTTTTTTTTAGGTTCTTGTGAGACTAAAAAATAAAGGATATATTTTGCTGAAAAGTTCTTCAAGTTGAAACTAGGTAAGCTTGGATTTTGTTCTCTAACAAAATCTTCATAAAACCAATG